AAAGTCAGAATTCTGACTTTTTTCTCATATTAAACTGAAATAAAATTAAAAAATCCGTTAACTTTTTTTTCTTTTCAGTGGCCCTAATCCTCTTCCGTATCAAGCTGTCCTCTATTTGCTTTGGTTTATCTTTCTGCAATATGATCATTCTGGTCCTTTGTAATCTTCATTTAAGCACGAAGACAATCCGCACGTTAAGACAATCCCACCTGGACAGCTGAGCAGAATCAGATCCGCTACCTTTGGTGAAGCGAACAGGTGTAAACCAAACAGAGTCCTGAAACTGAATTTAAAAAACATAAAAGCTTGCCAATAGAAGCAACAAGGTTATTTCAGATTGTTGAAGTATCTATTTACACCAATAGATAATGCTTTTCTTGAACTAAACAGGACAACTGTCACCTTGTGGCTCTGACTGTTAAACCAGATGGAAACTCAATGGCACAAAGCTGATCTACTAACTAGGTTCATTCTGGGTTTGTGGCTCTAGAATGAACAGAATAGATAATTCATAAATATGCAAAAAACTAACATTCTGTTAAGTACATTCTAAACAATTTATTATTCATTTTTTCTGTATTATTATCTCCAATTTCATGGCTAATGGTTCCTAAATTGGATCATCAGGATGTCCCTATCCTGCAGATCTCAGATGTTCAGTACCTGCATCATATCACTCAGTTCTGCACAAATCTGCTGATAATTATTTAATTGAGGTCAGGTTTATACAGGGAATCGTTTCAAACGGTAAAGCCTCTTACCTCTCTCCTCTATGGAGTTCATGGAGTCCAGTTTGGGTCTAAAGTGGGACCCGATGAGGTCAGACATGGAATGGGCCGCAGAGAGCTTCTGGGCGCCAGACAGCAGCGGCCGCTTCGCCTTCGTTTCTGTTTTGGCCTCTGGCTCCGAGGCTAACGACTGGTTGCCGGACTCCGAGTCGCAGACGGCAGATCGAGGCAAGATGGCCGAAGACGTGTCACTGTAGCCGCTGTCGTTTTTGCGACCTTTGACTTTGTTTTTAAGCTTTGAAAAAGGCGAGCGGGGCTTCTCCTTCATGGAGAGGTCGAACATGCTGGCCGTCATGTTGTTCCTCATGAACTGAATACTGACTTCGATTCGACCTCGCTCCTTCTTCTTCTTCCCTGGCTTGGACTCCAAGGAATACCAGCTGAAACGGGAGAGTAAGAGGCTTAAGCTCGGCAGATCCAATGACAGAATTTATATAAAAAGAGCGGGATTAATAGAGTTCAGCTCCAACAACAAATCCCTTTAGTTGATCACAAGTAATTCAACCTAATTCATGGAGACATGCATAGAAAATAAGAATGTGATACAAGTCTTTACACAACCAAACAACAGAAAAAATGGAGAACGGAGTCAGCCTTGGTTCTAACATGCTCTCTCTACTTCTTAATAGACACAAATGAAAAGACTAATTTGAGCTGAATAATCCAAAAGCTGCGATTCAAAAGGTTTAATCGTTTCAACTTTTATGACACAACCGAGAGCATCGTTTATCATTTAAAAAGGATAAACATTATTCTTTGAAATTTGAACAGAAGAACTAGCCTCCTGAAGAATAATAAAAGACCATTTTTGGGCTCCTGTTTGTTTAACCCTTCTGCTTTTTCAACTGGAAATAATGGGATTTTCGCCTTTACTAGGAGGGAGGAAAAAAAAAAAAAAATGTGGCATTTGCACAAATCTGGCCTTTGTTCAGAAATCCAACGACAAGCAACTGGGAAACTGCAAAAACCACATCACAGGGCGACAGAAGTTCATACATGCTAATGAGACATATGCTCTGTTTATGGGGCTTGTGGTAGCATTCATTAGCAAGCCAGCTTCAGGAACCAATGAGCGTTTATAAATGTTTTCTGTCTGCGTTCTGAGGGCCTCTATTATATTTCAGACCAAAGCTGCACATCATTTAAACCACAACTGTCATTTCGGTTGTAATGTTTGCGATATCATAACCCCAGAAGGATAGCTTGGAAGCCATCTTTGGGCTGTAATATCCAAAACACATACAGCTGATACAGATATTTGGCTGATGGAGACGTCACGTCTTTGTGGTGATGCTAAAGAAAGAGAAAAGTGAAGAAAATATGAGTTAATCTAACATCAAGCATCAGAATTTCATGTTTCCATCTCCAAATAGCAGGAGCAACGAGTCAACAGCCAGACCCCTAAAAGGTGACTCGTCATTTATGACCATAAAGCCTATCAGCTAATGAAAGCTTTGTTTAACCACAGCTTTATGTCCTTGACAATAGAAAGTTTGACAGCGGATGGCATCTGGACAGTCAGCAATATTCCAAATATATGTGTAGATAATAAAGCATCGCTTCAACGTTAGCCTCACCAGTGATGAGGAAGACCTCCTGCCGTGTTCCAGTTGCAAAGAAAACAGTCTTTAATGTCTATAGATTTGCTGCCCTGACATCCCACATCATGAAGGTCCTAGAGAGACTCCTGTTGGTTCATCCCAGCAAACAAACAAGCAGCTATCAAGACCTCCTGCAGTTTGCTTATCGCTGCGGAGTTAAAGATGCCATTTATTCTCCAGGTGCAGTTTTCTTATATTGTTAAAACAGGGTTCCTACAGCATAAGGCAAGTTAAATTCAAGACTTTTTTAAGACTTTTTTTTGCCACTTGAAATAAAAATTTAAGACCAAATTCACAAGAAAAACCTGCTTGCGACAACTTAACCCAAAGGTTTTTTTTTAACATAAACCACTGCACTAATGTTTCAAATTTTGAAAAGCTTCCCATACAGGAAGAAAGCTAAAAACACACAAATGACAGATATATTTGAACAATTATTTAACTT